GGAGTTCAGCACATGGGATAATCCAGAATAGAGCTCAGAGCAGAACACTGACAGGGAAACCAACAGCAGAAATGGGAAGGTTATGTTCACTTCCTTACTGTTGCCCCAATATGTCCCCAATGGATGGTTAGGAGAGATGCTGGAGCTGCTTTTTAGACAGCGCAAAGGAGAAAAAGCAAGGAAATGTATGTAAAACTATTGTTATGTGGTCAACTTCATGTTGGGTTCAGGTGCAGAGAGGCCATAGACTAATCAAGACTATACTGCTTCCTTGAGTTCCAAGGCAGATGCTATGGGATTTGGGCTATACATTCAATGTATAATAATAATAATAATAATAATAATAATAATAATAATAATAATTTTAAAAACTTTATTTATATCCGTCACCATCTCCCCAAGGGGACTCGGGGTGGCTTACATGAGGCCAATCCCAGCAATACAACAGTACAAATATACAACTATAAGAATACAGCAATAAAATATAAAAATAAAATAAAATACAAGAAACAGTATAAATAAACACATCAGACAGTATAAAATCACAATATTTGAACACAGAAAAATGATCATAGTGGGCAGGGCCGATTGCAAGGATTAAAAGTTTAAAAACACTGGGTGAGAGAGCAATATAATGTATCTGGACAGGGAATCCAAGGGACGAAGTAGGGTTTAATTGCACTAACAGGTAAAATAAAGTGCTTCCAAGGGCATTTATGCAGGGATTAGTCAAGTCAGGGATTATTGTTCATTCATTCATTGAAGGCACACTGGTGTTTTCAGGCTCTTCCTGAAGACTGCCAGGGTGGGGGCTGGCCTAATTTCTCTCGAGAGCGAATTCCAGAACTGAAGGGCCACCTCAGAGAAGGCCCTCTCCCTCCTCCCCACAAGTTGCACTTGCGATGGAGGTGGAGCACAAGAAAGGCCTCTCCGGAAAATAGAAAGGATCGTGTAGGTTCATAAAAGGAAATGTGGTCACACAGGTAGGTGGGTCCCAAACTGTTCAGGGCTTTCTAGGTAAGAACCTGCACCTTGAATTGGGACCGGAAAATAAACGGCAGCCAATGGAGCTCCTTAAACAGGGGGGTTGACTGCTCCCTGTAATTCGCACCAGTTAGTAGTCTGGTTGCTGCTCGGTGGACCAGTTGAAATTTCTGGGCCGTTTTCAAGGGGAGCCCCACACAGAGCACATTGCAATAGTCCAGTCTAGAGGTAACTAAGGTGTGAGGTATGGTTGCAGCTGGCGTACAAGCTTCAGTTGTGCAAAGGCCCTCCCAGCCACCGCTGACACCTGCGCTTCAAGTGTTAGCGTTGAGTCTAGAAGGACCACCAAGCTGTGGGCCTGTGAGTTTGGGGGGAGTGTAACTTACTGACTTGAATACAGCAGGACTTGCACTAGAGTACATACATTCCACTGTTCCACCAGAGAGTAATGCTTTCTTAACATATGTTTTCTTATATTAGTCAATCCCTGACATCCAGTGCAGTGTAGTGGTTTGAATGTTGAACTAAGATCTAGGTGGAGATCAACATTCAGATCTCTTCTCAGCCATGGAAACCTGCTGAATGTGTTTGGGCAAGTCTCACTCTCTCAGCCTCAGAGGACCTTCAGCTTCAGCGGAGACAAAGACAAATCTCTGAACAGCTGTTGTGAAGAAACCTGAAATAGAATCACTACAACATAGATTTGATGTGAAGGCACATAATAAATATTAGTTGAATAGGTGCTTACTCTATTTTACAGCCACCTGGAATCTATTTCACGATCTTTTTGCTGTACATTTAAACATGATTTGTGGCAAATTCATTTTGGGTGAATAACATAGAAAGGTTCAATAAAATATCCAAAGGTGATAGATGGCTACACTGCTGACAGCAGCCTGGTTATCCAAATGGAAGATATTTCAATATTAATATGAATGTTCAGAAATGGCTAGAATCATTCATTCCTCTAGTTTCCATGTCTTTAAATAGCTATTGGTGATTTTGTGTTTGTTCAACTCATTTTCAGGAGTCTGAAGTCTGATGTATTGTCGAAGGCTTTCATGGCTGGAATCACTGGGTTGTTGTAGGTTTTTCAGGCTATATGGCCATGTTCTAGAACAGGGGTCCTCAAACTAAGGCCCGAGGGCCGGATAGGGCCCTCTATGGTCATTTATCTGGCCCTCGCTTAGGGTCAACCTAAGCCTGAAACCACTTGAAAGCACACAACAATAACAACAACGATTCTATCTCATCAGCCAAAAGCAGGCCCACACTTCCCATTGAAATACTAATAAGTTTATAATTGTTAAAATTGTTCTTCATTTTAATTACTGTATTGTTCTTAAGTGGTTTGTGCACTACAAATAAGATATGTGCAGTGTGAAAAGGAATTCATTCATTTTTTTCCAATTATAATCCGGCCCTCCAACTGTGACCTGGCCCTTTGTTTTAAAAGTTTGAGCACCCCTGTTCTAGAAGCATTATCTCCTGATGTTTTGCCTGCATCTACGGCAAGCATCCTCTTCATCCTGGAAAGAAGTGACAAGTGGAGTGCCGCAGGGTTCTGTCCTGGGCCCGGTCCTGTTCAACATCTTTATTAATGATTTAGATGAAGGGTTAGAAGGTATGACCATCAAGTTTGCAAACAACACCAAATTGGGAGGGATAGCCAATACTCCAGAGGACAGGAGCAGGATTCAAAACAATCTTGGCAGATTAGAGAGATGGGCCAAAACTAACAAAATGAAGTTCAACAGTGACAAATGCAAGATACTCCACTTTGGCAGGAAAAACGAAATGCAAAGATACAGAATGGGGGACAATGCCTGGCTTGAAAGCAGTATGTGTGAAAAAGATCTTGGAGTCCTCATGGACAACAAGTTAAACATGAACCAACAATGTGATGTGGCGGCAAAAAAAGCCAATGGGATTTTGGCCTGCATCAATAGGAGCATAGTGTCTAGATCTAGGGAAGTAATGCTACCCCTCTATTCCGCTTTGGTTAGACCACACCTGGAATATTGTGTCCAATTCTGGGCACCACAGTTCAAGAGAGATATTGTCAAGCTGGAATGTGTCCAGAGGAGGGCGACTAAAGTGATCAAGGGTCTGGAGAACAAGCCCTATGAGGAGCGGCTTAAGGAGCTGGGCATGTTTAGCCTGAAGAAGAGAAGGCTGGGAAGAGATATGTATAAATATGTGAGAGGAAGCCACAGGGAGGAGGGAGCAAGCTTGTTTTCTGCTTCCGTGGAGATCGGGACGTGAAACAATGGCTTCAAACTACAAGAAAGGAGATTCCATCTGAACATGAGGAAGAACTTCCTGACTGTGAGAGCTGTCAAGCAGTGGAACTCTCTGCCCCGGAGTGTGGTGGAGGCTCCTTCTTTGGAAGCTTTTAAACAGAGGCTGAATGGCCATCTGTCAGGGGTGATTTGAATGCAATTTTCCTGCTTTTTGGTAGGGGGTTGGACTGGATGACCCATGAGGTCTCTTCCAACTCTTTGATTCTATGATTCTAAGGCAAAACGTCAGGAGAGAATGCTTCTATAACATGGCCATATAGCCCAAAAAACCTACAACAACCCAGTCTGAGGTCTGTCTAAGTAATATCTAAGACAGTGATGAGCAACCTTTTGAGCTTGGTGTGTCAAAATTTGCCAAAAACCAGAGCATAACTTGGGTGGGGTGTCAACTTTGAGAGAGAAAAAACATAATTTTGCAATATTTATAGTTTAAATAAGAAAAATGTATATTCCAGGCTGAATTATGGAGTGAACAATGCTCAAACGTGCAGATGTTAAATTTGTAGAGCCTTTTACAAATTTAAGGATGGAATTAGATTGGCTCTTATAAGGTGTACTTCTCTGTATGCGGCTGCATGAGGCCGCGTGTCATCAAAAATAGCCATGCGTGTCAGTGCTGACACATGTGTCATAGGTTCACCATCAGGGATCTAAGATATGGAGTGAAATAAACCAAGGGTTGCTAAAGTGTTCTCTGAATCTGGCAGTCCAAAACTGAACACGGGCTTCATTAGCAGCGAGAGATCTGAAAAACAGAAGGGATTTATCAAAGCTTAAAGACTTGTCTGCTCTGGAAAGGAATGAGAGAGCGTGACAGGGGAAGGAAAAGTCTCTGTGTGAGAACCTGGAAGTGAATACAGATAAATAGGAGACAGGAGCTGGGCAATTAAATTAGAGACGATAAACACAAATGCTGCCCTTGATTGAAAACTCATTTGTTTTATAGAGAGCAAGGGATTGTCTCCAGTTTTTCCTGAGAAAATATATTAGGTGGCCTGTCTGTCTCCTCTATAAATTGAGCTTGGTTATGTCAGCCAGTAATATGTGAAATTGGATTAAAGGGGGGAGCTTTTGGCTTTTACATACAGCTTTGCTGAAGACGGCACGCTTATTAAGGGACAAAGAAGAACAGATGGAGGATTTTCAGACTGAAGAGTGAGAGAGAAAAGCACTGTGGTTGAAAGCTGGATGCGCTTTCCATATACGTCCCCTTTTATTTTTAAACACTCCCCTGTAACTCTTTGCTGGTTCAACACTTTCTTCTTTCAAAGGGATGAAGCGGGGAGGAGTAAAGGAGAGAGGTGGAGGGGAGGAAAGGGCCAGGAGGGGGCGTGGATGGAAAGTGGTGCTCATTTCCCAACCCTTAAAGTCCACATTCCTTCTGGAAACCCAATCCTCTTCTATGACACATGGACGTAGAAAACAAGATTTATTACTTCAACAGAACTGTAATTCCATCAAGAAAAAAGGTGTCAGTCAAGCATGAGTTTGAATGACAAGAGGCGCTAAACTGGCTTTGTCATATTTCCCCCCTCCTCTGTTTTAAAAAAAATACGTTACAGAAATGCATGGGTGCTTTTTTTAAAGAAAGGAGGAACTCAAGTCCCCTTGAATCTGACGAAGCTCTGACCACCTTATATTCCATTTATAGACCGTCTCAGAATGACATCCCCCTTGACTAGCAAACTGTCCAATCCAGCTGCAAGTGTCAAGATTGTATTAGGGTACTAAGTGAAATATATATATATGCCCTTAGGGTGCTTAACACACTGGGTCTACCTCCAAGGCACTGGGCTGTAGATCATCCAGCTCTTCATCCAGGAATCTCTCGCAGGGGTTGGAGGGGCACCTTTTAACTTTTTAAAAAGGAAAAATGGCACCAAAGAAAGACGCCAAGAAAGCAGCCGCACCGGCACCAGCACCGGCACCAGCACCAGCCCCAGAACCAGTAAAGCCCAAAGAACCAGCAATTGATCTCTCCAGCATTAAGGTAAAGAGTTGAAGCTTGTGTGTGGTCACTGAAAAGCCCACTCTCTTTCTAGTTAGCTATCTTGAAACTCCAGAGTATAGGGACATTCACTCATTCAAACTTGAAAGAATATTTTAGGTTGAGTTTGTTTATGATTTGTGGTGTGGACTTTAGTGAAGCTGTACTAGAAAACAAACCAGGGACTCTTCCACCATCCCCAGTACTAATTATTATGATATATTATTATTATTATTATTATTATTATTATTATTATTATTATTATTATTTCAGCCACATCCAATATTTTATGTCAGTAGCTGGGCTGAACATGTAATGACTTATGAGTCAAAGGATGGTGTTCATGATTTTAAAAGCTGGTCTTGAGATCTAATCTTTTTCAATCTGGTCTGAAGCCTTTGTGTATGTGTACGTGCACTCATATTGTGACATAACGCAAATGTATTACAAAGATAACTTTTGCAATTAATTGAAGACTGACTTTAAAATCAACTTCTCTCTTTTTTTTAATGAGGATTAATTATTTAACAAGTTCCATCATGAGCTTAGTATAAACAGTTATACTAAGATACATTCTTTCCAGACGTATTAATTTAGCTTTTTTTTATCATGGGAATAAAATAATGATGCCCCTCTTAGTTTTAGAATTGGGGCAAACGTGGGTGCTAGATGAGAAGAGATTATTGGTAACTAGAACCACAGAGACGTGTTTCAGTGCCTACACCATTCATCTTTGTTGTCCATAACATTGAAGTTTCTATGAAGTGAACCTAGCTAACCAAAACTCTTTTGCTTTTTGTACAATACCTTGGAGTTGTTGCATGTGGAATTAAATCTTTGGGCAGCAGAATTGGGATTTTGTCTAGCATTTTGCATGAAGAGTGATGTGCAAGGAAGCTCTCTGCCTGTGGAATGAGGACAGAGGGAAAGACTCAGCTGGATAGATGCCCTGAGTGGCTCTAAGTAGAGTGTCATTCCCCACCTACCTGGCACTTTGATTGATCAGACTACCAATTTAGGAAACTCTACCTAAGAAATCCAACCTAATATGGAGAACCAAAGGGTAGAAAATACTGCAAGGGTAGCAAGAATTTTGGTAGCAGCTCATTTGACCCTGCTAATGAATGCTAACAAGTTTAATTGGACAAGGGTGGTTTACATTTGCAATCCTATGCACGTTTACTTGGAAGGAAGTAGCTCTGGATTCAACATGACATGCTCCCTTGTAGGGTTGCAGCCTTAGATTCATCCACAACTGAGCTTGAAACTACAAACTGATCTGGACCAAAAGGTCAATAGACTAAATTATCAGGATATGAAAAATCAATCCATAGTATTTATTTATTTATTTATTTATTTATTTATTTATTTATTTATCGTGTCAGTGCAACCAGTCGATTATATTACATTTCTAACAGAACAAAGCAAAAAAAACAGGCAAAATACAAAATCAAGAACTTTGGTCCAAAAGCAAGGTGCTGGCTGCTGGAGCTGATGAACAACTGCACTGCCTCCTGTCAGATCCCCAAAATCTGAAGGAAAGCAAGAGTCATCGCCATCCTGAAGCCAGGCAAAGACCGTAATGACCCAAAAAGCTACAGACCAATCTCCCTGTTGTGCCACCTCTACAAAGTTCTGGAGATACTTATTTTGCATAGAATTACGGGAAAAAATCCATAGTGAAGCCAGAGTAGACTCTAATGAAGTTTTAGCCTAAGATTTCAACTTCAAACAACAGAGGCACTATATATATATAGCTTATTGTCCTTTGAGTTCAGTCCAACCATAGCTTACTGTCCTTTGAGTTCAATCATGAGCATTTTTCCCTGTTATGAATTCCTCTCTCTCTCTCTCTCTATATATATATATATAGATAGATAGATAGATAGATAGATAGATAGATAGATAGATAGAGAGAGAGAGAGAGAGGAATTCATATATTCTGTCAACCTGTTATGAATTCCTATATATAGGAATTCATAACAGGGAAAAATGCTCATGATTGAACTCAAAGGACAGTAAGCTATGGTTGGATTGAACTCAAAGGAGATATATATATATATATATATATATATATATATATATATACACATATACATAGAGAGAGAGAGAGAGAGAGAGAGAGAGAGAAGGGGGGAATTCATAACAGGGGGAAATGCTCATGATTGAACTCAAAGGACACTAAGCTACGGTTGGGCCATCTGTGGCAATGTTTCTCCTCCTCCCCACTTAACAATTAGATTACATCTTGCACTTCATAAATGCTGATTTATGAAGAAGAATGCAAACTGGATTTTCTGCTAATCTACATTAGTCTGATAGCTGCATATATCCAATTAATTAGGAGAAAATAAAGTTTTCAACTCTGGTGGCTCTGGCTAATTTATCATCTGAAAATGGAATTCTATAATTTTAACCATGACAGCAGTTCTCCGTGGCTCCTTTCTTAGCTCCAAATACACATTTCTAACTCCAAAATATTATTCCAGGAGCATAGGTGGACCCACTGTATCAGCCAATAAAGCATTATTATTATTATTATTATTATTATTATTATTATTATTATTATTATTGTATTGTCGAAGGCTTTCATGGCTGGAATCACTGGGTTGTTGTAGGTTTTTTCGGGCTATATGGTCATGTTCTAGAGGCATTCTCTCCTGATGTTTCACCTGCATCTATGGCAAGCATCCTCAGAGGTAGTGAGGTCTGTGAACCTCACTACCTTTGAGGATGCTTGCCATAGAGGCAGGTGAAACGTCAGGAAAGAATGCCTCTAGAACATGGCCATATAGCCCAAAAAAACCTATAACAACCTAATGTCAAACTGCATTAATTCTACAGTGTAGATGCACTCTGTGTGGTCACTACATTGCCTTTAATTCCAATATGTCAGTATCCTACTTTATCTCTCTTGCAGGGGATTCAAAGCAGCCTAACTTAAAAGCATCAGCAAATAGTTGAAAATATACAAATATGCATACATTAAAACAGGATTAAATATAAACAGTATTTAAAAATTCAGTTAAAAACCATTAAAGCGTGTTCAAAGTTAAAAACCACAGCACTCCCTGAATTGATCTTAAAAACCTTCATCCTGATTGCTTTGTACCTAATGATGTTGCATACTTTCACACACAAATATTCCTCTTTTATCTGAATAGGGTTGCTGTGTGAGAGAAAGCCCTGTTCTCTGCAAAACTATCATTAAACATTTCTTGTCATCTAATTCGATTAACATCTGCATATAGTGTCAAATAGTAAACACATTTTATTCACATAGCTTGGTGCATAAATCTTTCTAATAGCCTTGTAAGGTGTATCTGTGAGTGACTTTGAGACTGAGACAGACTTGCTTAAGATTATCGTATGAGCTCAGGACTTGCTCATTCAAGCACACTAACCATGGTTAAATATATCCCAGTTCTAAAGCACAAGACCCACATAATCTCTGAGCATTTGTATTAAAGCATCAAGCAGACATAAAGTTGAATAATCAATTTCTAACAAAAGTAGGAGACAAATTAACCACAAGGCCTTAGCGTGTCAAAATAAGGCAAAATGCATGTGCCCTTTGATAAGATCCTAAAACTGGAAACCATCCAAGTTGGTTCTGGTCTTCCAGCCCTGTTCTACGTTCCAGTGTATTACTTCATATGTCTTCTTACTTATATGGCTCTGTTCTTTATCACATTGGAGGCGCTGTATCCTCACAATGCCCCCAGTGAGGTAGCTGAGTATTCTTAACCCTCAAAACTGAGGCACGTAGCGCTTCATCAGGACAAGGTCACCTCTAAGGATGGTTGCAGTTCCAAGGATTAAATCCGAGAATTTCATCCCCAAGTCCAAGAACTATCTCAAATGAACAAAATGCCAGGCACTGTCATCACTTACATTTCTGAAAGCACACATTTGAGTAAGATGTTCAGCTGGGGCTCTATATTGAACGCGCAAAATTCTGGGAGCTTTCCCATCAGGCTCAGAAGGAGTGACACAAATTTAGTAGACTTGGGAAAGACTTTACCTTGAGACCAGTCATATATCTGGAGGTGAAAGAATTAACTTGTCTGGACTCAATCTCCTATCTTGCCATGGTTCTGCAGTTTTCCTGTAGGTGAGTTATCCTCCTGACATTGTCCTGGGACCTAATAATAATTATTTATTTATTTGACCAGTCATATGACCATTTCAAAATACAACACGAGTAAAAGACAAGGCAAAAGGGAGAGGACAGCAGCTGACCTTCTATTTACAGTCCTAGGACATTAATTAGCAATTATGTTGGTAACTGAGAGATATAGCAATAGGCAACTTTTTTTTCTGGAGAAGAAATTTTGTTCATTTTAAAACAGCCTTAATTTTGTTGTAAAAAGTAGTATTTTTTTAAAAAAAAATCAATCAGACTTCAAAAAAGGCAAAACCCACAAATCAATTTGACTTTAGAAAATTCAATTTTTTTTAAAAAAAAAGTATTAAAGGAAAAAAAGTCCTGCTTTACCTACAAGAACCTACAAGAACTAATTTACTTACAAGAACCAATTCTGAAAATATTTCAAAGCCTGTTTATGCTCATTTCTGGATATTTATCTAGCTTCCACTGACGATGAACATCTTCTTTGGCTTTGAATTAAACCATTTAGTAGTTTGCTTGGGTTTCCTGACCCAGAGTAGTAGTATATTTTCTAAAATTGTTTCTTTGACTATCTAAAGTTCATTATTATTTTTATGGTACTTTACTTATAAACTCCTTTCTATGTATCATAAAAATGTTACATTCTATTTAAAACTCCACTGATATCTGTGTACTATACTCTTGTTAGCATAGCACAGTTTGTGGGATGACGTGACTCCCCAAGTCAGTTTTTGTGCAACTCCAATTGTATCTCTTTTTTTTGGGGGGGGGGATCACTCCATCCTGCAACCTCTTATTACAAGCCCTCCAGTCGGACAGAATTATTTTTTAAAGTATTAATTTCCATGTCAGAAGGCAGGTGCATAGGAAG